TAATGTAGCATAAAAATGCATATTTATACATTTTGCCATTGCATTGTGGAATGACACTTTCATAAACTTTTCTATAGCCTACTCCTCTGATTATATAATGGTAAATATTACAATACCATAGCACAACAACAGTGATCAGCAATAATGATAAGCCTAATACTTACAATAAAAATAATAAGGTCATATAGATCATAACAGTCTCTGAGGTAAGAAGTGGATTATCCTTAACCTGAAATGTGTCTTTTCATCCTGAAATGCGAGGCAAATATTGGATAACAAGAACTAGGAACCACAGTTTCCACAAATCCCTTCACTCGACTGGGATGTTCTCTTTTATTCTGGACGGCAAGGGCAGTGACTGTAATGGAGCATATTTTGCAGTATTAAACATTTACACCGATTTCATCAGGCTCCGAGAATTCTTCAAAAAGAACAAAGAATGGCCTTCTCAGCTGCCATAGTTGCAACTCTTGCGTCATTCAACGCCCCACCGTTTCAGTTTAAAAAAAAAACGTTTTGCACAATTTTTTCGGGGCTGAACGCAGCCCAGCTCTATCGAAACTTCAAGCAAACCCTTTTTTGGCCTTCGGTTCTTTTCAACGTGTGGCTTCTTTATTTTCGTATACACTAATTTGCACTGCACTTTGTATATTGCGTTGGTCCATAGTACATGAGATGCGAGTGTGTTTTTTTTTAAATTTGCGTGATGTTAGTAAATCACCCGCAGAAATTTCCCCTCCCATCGGCACCGTTTTGAAAATGTGCTCTCGCACTAATTTGCCCCATTTAGTAAAACTGGCCCTTAGGGTGTTTTCACACCTAGTTCGTTTAACCCTTTCAAACACTCTCGGAGCGGTTCAGCATGTATATGTGAACAAACCATGTGATCTCAGACCCCCCTAAAAGGACCCAAAAGCGAACCGTACTCAGACCACCTCCGGAGGTGGTCCGAGTAGGGTTTGTGGGTCCGTTTGTGGTTCAATATCTTCGGGATATAAAAGGTTTCTTTTGTTTGCCCAAAAAAAAAATAAAAAAAAAAAAATGAAGGAAAGGGGATATAACAGAACCGCGTTACAATTTTCAGATGCTTTCCTTTAGTTCTGCTTTGTCTGACATTGGTTTCAAAATGTGCCACATCCATGTGATGACAACATGTAAAGACGCCATCTTGAATACCCAAAAACCACTGCTGCACAGAAAGCTGGGGTCGGAGTTCTTATAAAGTTGTGGTGTGAACAAGAAAGGGTCTGAGATCTCTTCATTGCTGAAGAGGACCAAAAAAATAACTGGGTTCTCTTTTGAGTCCACTAGATTGTGTACACTAAAAGGACTGAGGTCACTTTCGACTGGTTCACTTTAAGTGAACTGGGTTTTGTTCTTTTAAAACGAACTGTGTGAAAACACCCTTAGTCTATATCAGTGGTTCCCAACCCTGGTCCTGGAGGCACCCCAACACTGCACATTTCGCATGTCTCCTTTCTCTGACAAGCCAGTTTCAGGTCTTGGATTCTCTACTAATGAGCTGATGATCTGAATCAGGTGCGTTTCATCAAGGAGACATGCAAAACGACCAGGGTTGGGACCGATTGGTCTATATAAATCATACACGATTTAAAATTGTTCATGATTTATATAGACTAAATGCTAACATCTTAAAATATCAATATGAAAACCAAAAACTCCAATGTAATTTCAAAAGCCAGTAGGCCTAATTCTATGAATGAACATCTAGTTCAGGGGTGGCGAACGTCGGTCCTGGCGAGCCGCAGCCCTGCAGAGTTTTGCTTCAACCCTAATCAAACACACCTGAACAAGCTAATCAAGGTCTGAACGGTTATTAGGAAGCTACAGGCAGGTGAGTTAATTAGGGTTAGAGCTGAACTCTGCAGGGCTGCGGCTCTCCAGGGCCGGAGTTCGCCACCGCTGATCTAGTTCATAAAAAAAAAGGGAGAGAGTGAAAAAGAAAAAAAAAAAAGAAAAGGGTAGTTTGCTTCATTTTTGCTGTATTTCACAGTGTAACTCACCAATAATAATTATAGAATTTTGTAATTAACGTAAGGGCCAGTATGTACAATTACTGCAATAATTATGCATTCTGTAATGCAGTGGTTCTCAAACCTGTCCTGGAGTACCCCCAAATCTGCACATTTTGTATGTCTCCCTCATCTATCACACCTGATTCAACTCATCAGCTCATTAGTGGAGACTGCAAGACCTGAAGTGTCAGATATAGGACAAAATGTGCAGTGCTGGGGGTACTTCATGGAGAGGTTTGAGAACCACTGCTGTAATCGATAAGATCAAAATGTAACTGTTTGTTAACAGTTTTCATGTTGCATTTTCCCTAATGATTTCTTGACATAATCGGAGAACAACATGGATGCTATAAATACATTAATGTCACAGCTCACAAAACAGTTACAACTGGGGTGCTCATTCTCACACACAAAAAAAAAAAAAAAAAAAAAAAAAAAAAAAAGTGTTCTACATGAAGATACATATATTAGCAGGATCTGTGTGGAAAATGCAACATATGCAATAAAATAAAAACTCAACCACTGGGAAAACTGAGCAAATGTTTAAAAGCTTTTAAAAATGGCCTGTATTCACTTATGAGAGTTATAGATGCCTCAATAAGAAAAAATAAATTAAAAAAAATGCAGCTGCAAAATCTGACCTCATAAAACCATAGCCACTACACACAATTAAAATGTAATTACCTAACCTAATCATTTAAAAAAAAAAAAAAAAACAATACGTGACTTTGATTACCGCAAAACTGTTCATGTAAATATACATAAATATCTAGAATTCACCCTATATTTCAACACTTTTACGAGCAAACCCTAAATTTCTCAGGGGAGTGTAATACATTTCCAAAAGAATGCAAAAAGCAAATGTTTTGTAAGCAAACAAAAGCATTGAAATATATTTTACCCATTTTTTTTTTATTCATCCATTTTATCTATTCTCATATGTTTTAAAGAATGCAGACCTTAAAAAGCAGTACTTGTCCATTCGTGTCACGAGTGGTTCAACCACAGCTTCCTCATTGCTGTCAGTGCCTACATCCGCCATATTCAGAATGCAATAAAAATAAAATACTTAAAATAGAATTAGTAAATAGCATTGCGTTAGGTTCTTATTTCCGTTATAACGCTCACTAAATAACTTTAATGTGAACTTAACATTGTGTTTTATTTGTGCAGTTCAATATAATTCACACAGCCAAACCTGGATACTGCAAAGTGAAAATGCTATAACAGTCTAGACTCATTAAATCAGGGGTGCCCGAACTCGGTCCTGGAGGGCCGGTGTCCTGCAGAGTTTAGCTCCAACTTGCCTCAACACACCTGCAGGGAAGTTTTTAGTATCCTAGTAAGAGCTTGATTAGCCGGTTCAGGTGTCTAATTGGGGTTGGATCTAAACTCTGCAGGACATCGGCCCTCCAGGACCGATGTCCTGCAGAGTTTAGCTCCAACTTGCCTCAACACACCCGCAGGGGAGTTTTTAGTATCCTAGTAAGAGCTTGATTAGCCGGTTCAGGTGTCTAATTGGGGTTGGATCTAAGCTCTGCAGGACATCGGTCCTGGAGGGCCGATGTCCTGCAGAGTTTAGCTCCAACTTGCCTCAACACACCCGCAGGGGAGTTTTTAGTATCCTAGTAAGAGCTTGATTAGCCGGTTCAGGTGTCTAATTGGGGTTGGATCTAAGCTCTGCAGGACATCGGCCCTCCAGGACCGAGTTTGGGCAGCCCTGCATTCAATTATCGTTTAAGCATATACAGACTGAACCGCAAAAATATACAATTCATCTCATACTTTGCTACATTTTTTATATTTATCTCTAGGTTTAGTAGACAAGGCACTCATGTATAAACATGCCACAGATAACGATGGTAGTCACGCAACCGTTATCACAGATCACTAGATAGATTTCATCTTCCACAATGCTAACGTTCCAGGAAATGTGGTTCCCAAGAACCGTTATTTCAAGCAATACTGCCACTCCATGCATTTTACTCACACACCAACCTCATTTTGCACATACAAATTTGTTAAATAGTCTCACAGAACATAGTGAAGAATGCTCAAGTCAACAGGTTTTAATTCTAGAATAGGTCCAAAATAGAACATACTGTACAGAGGTAGTGTGAATAAATCCATCAGCTTCAATAGTATTGCATATCCTAAGGTTACAATCACACTGCAAAAACCAGTGCTCAATTCCAATTTTTTTGGTCAGATCTGATTTTTATATGGCTGTGCACATGATCATTTTTAAATGTGGCCAATATCAGATTCCAGAGTGAACGAATGGCGTAAGTGTCACATGAATTCGCATTGCAAAACAGCTGACCTGAATCGATCTAGGACCACATATAAAAGCGGCCCAAAACAGAAGCAAAAGATCAGATTTAATGTGGTTCGTGCAGTTCACGCATTCACATTCACACAGTTCACATTGGGCCACATTTATGCAGTGTGAATGTAGCCAGTACGAGACTGAATCAAAATGCCCTCATGTCATTCCAAACCTGTAAGACTTCCTCTTCTGTGAACCACAAAAGAGGGTATTTTGAAGAACGGTAGCCATTGAGTGGAGTACACAACTTTGACTTTCTGGGTGAACTGTCCCTTTAAAATGCTAAGGTTGGTGTTTCCATGCATGTCTTTCTTTTGATTTGAGAGTGAATAAAAGTGCATTTTAAAATTGTGATCCATTCAGCATACATCATGCCACTTCACTATACACTACCTTTATGTATTTTTTGGAACGCTAAAGATTTGGATTCTACGGTTTCATAAGAACAAAAACTTCTGAAACATTCCTCAAAAAGGTGTGTTCCGCAGAACAAAGCAAAGCTTGTTCTGTACGAGTTTGGAATGACATGAGTAAATTAATTACCTATAAAAGCTAACCTTGCTCAGTTGCACAGAAACAGAAGATTTGTTTCCCCAAGTATAATATTCAAAGAAAAAACTAAAACTTCATCCAGAGTCTCTTAAGTGGTACCTTTAATGCTCAGCATTTTCCCCATGTTGCCCCCCAGAAAGTTTCACCAGGTTATTCTTTTCCAACATGGGTTTTATCAAGCACTACAGCTGAACTCAATGGGGTTTAATGGTTTACAAACATCAGCAGGTCAGCATGGCACTGTGCATATTTCTCCACAGTCTCATGGTCTGCTGAGGGTCACGCTGGTGCACCAGGAGCAGGTTTTTGTGTACACAGGGGTTCTCCCGGTCTTGTTCCCGAATGTCAAAAGTCTTGAAACCATCGTGTTTCGTTGCAGTGATTCCAAGTGCCTTGAAGCACATCCCATTGTAGACGTCATCAATTGGGAAAAAGGGTATGTAAAAGGAAACGTGGTAAAGAGACGGAAGAAGGTTTCCAGAAAAAAGGAATCCACCGCCACCAGCATAAGGAGGGTAAGGACCTTCATAGAACGACTGAGGAACATAATATTTAATTTTAGGGTCCCGTAACGGGCTGGCATCAGAAATTATCTGCCCGGTGTACAACGCTGTGGCCTGCTCTGGCTCCAGAGACTGCAGATGATTCAATATCGCTTGAGTGTTAGCAAAAACATCATCGTCACCCTTAAAAACGAAAGATACGCGAGGACAGTTATCAAGCATCCACTTGAAGAACACGTGCTCCTTGAGAGTCAGGTTGTAAAAGGAGTCATGAAAATCCCAGACGAGGAGATCTTGAAACTGCTGAGCTTCAAACGAAACCAGTTTGTCGAGATTGGGATCATCCGCTGATGATCGGCCCAGCAGAAAGACAGTTCGTACCTGAAGTCCGTTTTCATACAAGCCTTCACTTCCCCAGGTCTCTCGGACTGCTTGGCGCCTCTCGAAGTGCTTTGGAATGGATTTGACTGCAAAAAGTAGGAACATTTGATCCTGTCCGCTCTCTGATGCACACTTGTCAGGCTGATCGATAAGAAGTGCTGGGTCTCGACACTCCATGCCTCGAAGGAAGTCTCCGTAAAGTGGAGGGTATGACTGAATATCCTGAATGTTGGTTTGTAGCAACTCAAAACTCTCAGGCTGACAGTGAAACTTGTCACGTGGGTCTTTGTGCGTTTGATTGTCGATGGAGTCGAACTGCCGGAGGAGAGAATGAAGCTTCCGGTTCCAGAAGGCACCGTTTTTGGGAAAGCCTTTTCTGAAAGTCTCAGAAATCGTTAGTGGTGGAAGCTCATACAGCATGGCACTTTTGCTTTTCTTTTTGACAGTGCTTATCACTACAGTTGTGGGTTTTTTTGGCGTGGAAGCTGGAACTGAAGGGATCTTAGCCAAGTCTTTTTGGTTGTGTTCCACAACCTTTAGCTTGGAAAAGATGATGACAACGCAGAAGCTGCTAGCTAGTGCAACGATTAGCAATTTCATATACTTCCTTTTCATTTTACAACTGTTAAAAGCAGCGTACTCTTGAGAAGCAAATAATGACGTTGGTCTTTACAGGAAATGGTGGGGATTGGCGCTACAGAATGTACTTGTTTTAAACATTCATTTTCCACTGAATTCAGTTTCTTCAATCATATTCCCATTGATGTCAAGTTCAGCTGTGAGCCTAGCAGACACAAGAAACAGTAACGCAAGTGAAGATCACAAGAACGTTAGTCAAACCGTAGCATACCAAATAACACCAGACTGTTTCCTCTGTGGTTTGTGTGGGTGACAAATGTTGTCGGTCTAAGTCTTGCTTTAACATTTATGAACTGGCAAACGGTTAAGGTGCAATTCACTCAAATTAAAATTCTGTCATTAAACCTCATGTTAGTCCAAAGCTGCATGCATTTCTTTCTTTAATCATATGGACAAAAGTAACCAACACATTTTTCAAAATCCAGAGAAGTCCATCATACAGGTTGGAACGACATGAGGGGGATTTAATGACAGTTCTCATTTTTGAGTGAACTATACCTCTTCAATAACACTGACTGAAACTGGGGATAGAGCGGTCAACAGCAATAATACCATACATCAAGTATATTACTACTACTAGTTTGTTCTTACTGTTAGCATAATTAACAGACATTTTTTTTATGTGGATCTAAAATTAAACCCAACCTTTTAAATTTATTGGAAAACTGGTCTCAGGTGATTAATTAAACAGCACAGGTTCTAAAATGAAGTACATTTCAGTCCCATGATGACACTGCATTGAGCGCAGGGACAGATGATATCCAGCTCCTGAGAGAAAGTGTATGCTATGGTCTAAAACCCATGTAGATACTCCTTCAGTAAATATTTATATATGTCCTTCTGGAGGTGTATTCCTACCATACTGTCTTCTACCATGCCTTTCTTGGTTGATTGAAATATTAAACATGCTTCCCAAAAAATGAAATAAGCAAAATATGGTTTTATTTCCAAATGTAAAAATGCATACGACAAATAAATATTTATGGTGGTGGAATAATGCCTGCTGCTTCACTTAGTGTTCACGGGCTTTGTAAGCTTAATACACTGCGGTGTTAATTTACGTAAGGATTTGAACACAGGAATATATCTAGGCTATAGCCTAATAATAGTTTAGGTTACTATAGTGTTCAACACTATAGCTACCGCTGTAAGTTATGGGTGCTATACTGTCAGTTTGATTGAAAATTACACTAACGTTAAACATTTCTCAAGACTTTAAACAGAACAATGGGGGAAAACATAACATTGCTTACCGTGGGAGCGTCTATCATCCTTCTCAGTCCAAACTGCTCGTCTTGACAAAAGGAAACCACGTTGTCATCCACCACCACAGTGTGCGTGCTGTTTCACTGTACTACGCAAAAGCGATAAAAGCGCGACGTCACCTGCCTCTTTTTTCCATCAGCACCTGACTGTCTGTGATTGGTGCTCATCAGCCAACACACCTGAGCACTTAATCAAGGTAATATTGTAGGCTACCCTACGCGAGCGAAGGCTTTTTTTTTTTTTTAACAGAAGCGATTTTCTATCATTCGACTGCTGAAGACCTTTGCTTGAGTGTTTAATGCGAATTGTGTTTTGATATAGGCCTATTGTAATGAATCTTTAATACTGAGAGAATATTTCCAGGCCCGGTTTCAAAATTAAATACTAATACTAAACGTTCTAAGCGACAGTTCATAAACCATACACACCAACAAGAATAGCAATGCACACTGACAGACTTTTACTAGCCTAGTTCAAGTCTACATTCCCCCCATTCTACATTCTACAAAGCAGTGGTTCCCAACCCTGGTCCTTGAGGCACCCCAACACTGCACAACATTTTGCATGTCTCCTTAATCAAACACACATGATTCAGATCATCAGCTCATTAGTAGAGACTCCAAGACCTCAAACTGGTGTGTCAGAGAAAGGAGACATGCAAAATGTGCGGTGTTGGGGTGCCTCCAGGACCAGGGTTGGGAACCACTGCTTTAAAGAATGTAAAAAGTTTTTAGTCTTGCCCTTTTTAGGTTAAAAAACACTATTATTAGTGCCTTCTAAAGATGTACTAAAAAGTCACACTTAAGTGGTTTAAAAAAAAAAATCACTCAAAAGTTCAACTTAATGCATTTAATAACTTTAAAATGTGATACATTTGAAATTTGAAATACTTAAGCGGTGAAAACATTACATTTAATTTGCACGTACGTGTGTTCTTTATATTATTTCTGCAATAAGTACACTTTATAAAAGTATACTTAAATGCACTTCTTTATCACAAGGGTATATGCTTGACTTGATGCATGTAAATGGATGTATATGTGGGTCGCACCAACTTAAATAGAAAAAAATAGGGTCGCTCTTAAAAAAAGTTTGAAAACCACTGCCTTAGAATTAAATAATAATAATAATAATAATCCCCAAACATTATTTTCTCAACTTGAGGGGTTGGACAATAACACTGAAACACTGGCCAATAGTAATGGAGGTTGTCAGGCCAGTCTTCACTGATTTTACTGATTTACTTCACTGAAGTAGTAGCTCAATAGCACAGTTTTGCATAAAATATAGCAATCCACACAACATATCAGAGTTTAAATTGTTGGTGCACATCTTGTGGCGCATCTGAACAGCAAGTCTTTGTGGTGTAAAGAGAGCTACAGTATCCAGACTAATGTCAGCATACCACCATGAAGGATGAACCACATCTAACAGGAGTAGCTGTTATCGCAAGAGGAAGCTGTCCGAAAGGAATGTATGGGTTATTAACAGTATTGGGGGTAACGCATTACAAGTAATGCGAGTTACGTAATCAGATTACTTTTTTCAAGTAACTAGTAAAGTAACGCATTACTTTTTAATTTACAAGAGAATATCTGAGTTACTTTTTCAAATAAGTAACGCAAGTTACTTTTTTTCTCAATTTATTGATTGACAGCTCTGCTGTCCCCATGTTGAGAGAAATCAGATGTTACTGTAGTTCTAAAATAAATATAAATATGCATTAATTCATCTCACTCACACACAAAAACACAGATTCAGTATTCAGTATAAAAAATGCAACTCCGAATATGACGCAAACCTGCAATAATTAAATGTTAAACAACACAAATATGCTTTATGTATTTAATCTCATTCTATTAACCAATGCCTTTGCTTCTGACCTTCGATGATCCAGTTCAACCGTACTAATAAACACAAATTACTCTAGACAAACATTTGTGTCTTTTTTTTATTGCTGAAGTGTTTTTAAATTTGGATGTAAATGTACTTTCCCTTCAGCCTGAGGCTTATTCATTTCACTTTTGGTGTGAAAAGGCTTTTATATTTGCCAAAAATATAACTTTTTTATTTTAAAAACAAACCAGCAAGCCCTGACCAGATTTTAAAAGTAACGCAAAAGTAACGTAACGCATTACTTTCCATAAAAAGTAACTAAGTAACGTAATTAGTTACTTTTTTATGGAGTAACGCAATATTGTAATGCATTACTTTTAAAAGTAACCCCCCCCCCCCACCCCCAATACTACAGAATGAAATGTTCGCCTTGACTGTCCTGTTTCCACCAAAACTGTTCATCGGGAGTTTCACAAGGTCAATATGATCAAACTGCTATTGCCAAACCTTTGGTCACTCGTGCTAATGCTGCGGAATACCCAACCATTCTGAAGGACCACGTGGTTCAAACATTGTACTGGTGCCATGTATCAGCTCGATAATTCACCAGTGCACACAGCATGACTGGTGAGAGAGTGGTTTGAGGAACATGAAACTGAAATTCATCTCCCATGACCTGCACAGTCACCAGATCTGAATATTATTGAGCCACTTTGAGGGAGTGACCTGGCCACTGTTCTGCAAGATGAGTAGCTTAGAATCCCTCTGGCATGTATCTGTCATTCCCAAGACGAACTGATGCTGGACTGGTGGTAGAAGGAAGCCCTACACCATACTAATAATTATTGTGGTCTAAAACCAGGTGTTGCAGTTTCATTGCTTAACCCCTGTGTATATTTCTAAGTTAGCAATTTTGAGTATTAGCATTAAATATACATTATACATATCATCTATACATTTACTTATTCTCGGACATAAAATGTATTGCGATACTTTTATAGAATTAGATTGTGTCTTACAAACTCCAATCTGTTTTACGTGTGTGTGTGTGTGTGTGTGTGTATATATATATATGTATGTTCTGGAGTATGACTGAAAGGACTGTAATAGGTGAGGTCTGATATCTAGCCTTCCTCAAGGGGTGTCAGTCAAAATGCAGGATCTGATCAGTTCCGTCCAAAGAGTTTAATTTCTCTTAGCACAGGAGAAATTTGCAACCAAAATGCACTCAACACAGCTGTACACGGGCATTACAGGTGATCAAATAGGTATTTGTTTGTGAGTGTGTGGTTTTTGTTCACACATCAACATGAATAGTCTCTGCACTATGCACTTTCCTGCTGAGTCACTCTAGCTCTTTCTGCGCATTCTGACAGATCAAAGTTAGCACATGCGCACCAACCAGGCCTTTCTAACAATATATATAAATCATCTATAATTCTTACTTGATGTTAATATTTTAATTATCAATTAATTGATGTTTTAATAAATTTTTTACTTTTTTCTCAACAAATGTGTTTAGCTCACAATCCACCAAACAGTGAGAATGACCCATAATTTTATTTGTATTTTATTTATTCAGGAAATAAACTTTATGAGACTAAAAGTCTCTTTTTCAGAATTGTCCTGGCCAAGATGAGCAGCTACAGAAGTTTTAAAAATGTTACAAATCAACAAACACCATATAAATACAAAGGCGTAGCTTGACGATGCCGTGACTGGGTGTGGAATCATGGGAGTTGTCGTCTTCATCCCCACAGCCGACGCAATCCGACGGGACTCAGGGCAGAAATCATGTTCATGGATGAGCTAATGTATTAAAGATGTATTAACATCGCAGTATGAAGCAGAGTGAGGCGGAAAGCTGTCGAAGCGAAACGAGGCCGCTGAAGCAATTGCTAATGAGAGACGAGAGTGATACACGGCTCGAAAGCAGTGGAGCTTTTATTATGCCACACTTTAGCGCTTCCGCTCCTTCCGGTCGTGCGTATGTGGGGTAAAGCAGCGCTGTTTTATCATACTAATTTGAAACATTTGAAAGTTCTGTTATAATGCTACTCTGTGCGGTCGTCACCTGTCTAATAAAACGCACAAAATATTAAAGCGTCTTTGGTGTTTCCATGTTTTCTACAAAACAAAACCGGAAATCGAGGGGTTATGACGTCATTGGCAGGCGACACAATGACACTACGGACACGTCCCGTGTCACTAGTTAAAATTGCTTATTTCTCTGGATTTAAACATTCTTCGAAACATTTGGGATAATGTAAGTACACAAGTCAGCAAAATATATAACACTGTTCTAGAGGTTTTTGGATATTTGAATAAAAAAAATCGTACATATTGCACCTTTAAAACATCTGCGATTCGAATCTTCCTTTACCAGAAATTATTTACCAGGAAACAATTGGTAAAGTGTTTTAATCATTAGACGTGTCATAAAAAGCTTCTTTCCCTTGTTTCTTCTTACAAATGGAATTGAAAGGGTAAACAAGTTCTGTGTATGTAAAGAGCATGCATTAACAATTTACTGTCGAGTAAGAGAACAAACATTTGACAATAGACCCAAAATTGATTTATAAATGAACAAGTAATGCTTCAGTTTGCATGTTGATAATGAAGACCAACATGCTATATTATACAACTCATAATGAGTTCTAAAATGACAATTTGTTTTGAAGCTGAGTGCACCATGATAGAGCATGTCTAAAGAACATTAAAAGCTGGCAGGTGCAAATGTATAACCATCTCCATAATCAAGAACTGGCAAAAAAAAAAATTGCAGAAACTTTTTTCTGCCACCAATGAAAAATAGGCTTCATTTCTAAAATGAAAACTTGTGTTTCAACTGTAACTGATTTACATGAGATTTCAAAGATAAAGATTCATCAAATATGAAACCAAGATATTTGTATTCTGGCACTAACTCTATTACAGTGCTTTGTAAAGCTCTAACCAGTATAGGTTTTGGTTTAAGTCCTTTATTTAACCAGGAAATAAACTTGAGTTTTCGTAGTTTTACTAAAAGAACAATGAATTCATAGCAAGACTAACCGTTACATATATTTACCAATGACATATGAACAATTATGACTGATTACAAGAAAGGCAGAAACAAGTGTTTCACCCTTTTTGGGAAGTCAATAAAAACACGCTGTATAGGTTGAATCAGTCCTTCTTTTACTCTTTTTCTTCTCCATATGTCAAAATAAAAAACAGGAATAGCATTTCAAATCATTTTTCAAGATTAGTCTACGCAGGAATCAGCAAGCAAAAAATAAGCAGAGATACAAGGTATGGTATTTCCGATAAGAATAAAAATACATATGCCACTACTAAAGAATTGAACAGAATGAACAAAGGTTTTTGTGCTCAGTAATACGGGTGCTCTGTGTCAGCCAGAGCACAAGGCATTTCTGAAGCTTGGTGTGCACAGCACCCCGTAATATTACTGTAAGCTGGTTTCAGCTCTCATGCAACACTCCCTAAAATCTCATTTAAACAATCAGCCTTCCTTTCTTTAGTGTTCTCTGAGGTCTGGCGGTACGGCCGTGTCATAGAGAGAGAGAGGTAAAGCAAAGGCATCAAGGCACTGAGAGTTGAGTAGGTGGTAAAACAGGGCAATAGTCAACCATCATACTGAAGTCACGGTGTTAAAGTCAAAGTTGAGTTCGTTACTATAACAACAGTAGATCAAACAATCATTGTAAAAAAAAATAAATAAACTTTGTCGAGATCACAAGAAAATAAGTCATTATAACGAGAAAACAACTCTCGTTATGTCGATATAACGAGAAAATAAGTCGTTATAACGAGAAAACAACTCTCATTATGTCGATATAACGAGAAAATAAGTCGTTATAACGAGAAAACAAGAAGGAAAAAAAAAAAGAATGCATGGCCGCTTAGAACTTCCGTACAAACCTGATGACCAACTACAAAAAACGTCTTACCTCTGTGGTTTCTGCACCAAGTACTAAGTCATGTTTTGCTTGGGGATCAAATACTTATTTCACTCACTGAAATGTGAATCAATTTCTTTTCGTGAATCGTTTTTTTCTGGATTTTTTTGGTTGGTATTCTGTCTCTATAAGTTAAAATAAACCTACCATAAAAATGACAGACCCTTCAGTAAGTGGGCAAACTTACAAAATCAGCAGAGGATCTAATAAATATTTTCCCCACTGTAGCATGTTTTTACAAGCTAAAAATACAGCAACCTCCGATCAAAAATTACTACTGTAAAAAAATTATAATAATACAGTATTATAAAAACCTTTGATCAGCCATAACGTTTTATGGAATACTTTAATATGAATGAATAAATAAAAGTACAAAAATAAATAAAAACAAATTGAATGAATAACTAAAGAATAAATGTATGAATAAATCTTTATATACACATACATACGGTATTTAAAAACAAATGATAGTTAGGGGTTTGTTCAATTCCTCAGTATGGGCAATGAAATGTTCAAAATGTAGAACGCATTTAATAAGTTACTATTATTATTATTTTTTAAACATTCCGGACACCAGACACATTACAGAAGGAGACACATTGAAAAGGAGGGTTAAATTACAAATAATAATTAAACACAAATAATAAATATAAAAAATAAAGTGATAATAACGGTTATGATGATAATACGGTGTATCAGTAATTTGACTTTTTTTTTTGCTGAGGTCATTTTGTGCTGACATCCAGCCTTACCTTCACCAATTTGCATTCACGTGAATCTGAAAAGGCTGGAAACATTTCCTCGTACTTCTGGACGGCAAGCTACAAGGGAAGCATGAAGGACAAAGTATATGAAAGGGGACTGCAAACGACACAGCCAGTTTTATCTGTTTTCCATCAGCTTGTTAAAAGATGTGGTTGTGGTGGGGTTTTCATACCTTAGCATTCAGCATGTCCACACAGAACTGGCAAAGAGCTGCCTTAAAGAAATAGTCCTTTGCGCTGTATTTCAACAGAGTGCTGTCCATTGCATGTGTTGCAACCTGGAAACCCACCAACACAAATATAGAAACAACTTAACTAAATCTTTCCATGTGCAAAAAAGGGGGTCACAGATTTTATATGCAACTTCTTGTTTGGAGCGACTGTATAGTGACCGATACTTGATCCAACAGAGAAAATGCCTGTCAGGTAAAAAAAAAAAAAACAGCTTATATTTCTTTCACAAGTTCATCTGGTGAGTTTCAGCTAAAAACTTTTTTCCTCTACTGAAATCCATTCAAAAATAGCAGATTTTATTGTGAAAAATAAAAATTTTCGCATATGCAAAAAACACACTTTGGGACAGCAACTTCTTGTTTCAGGCTGAAGTACAAATAGACAGTTTTGAGTAAATGTGACTGTATTCTCAAGATCTGTTTGTTAGTTAATGAAACCCTCACATGAGATTTGGTATGTTTTCATTTGAGTAAATGAATGATAACAGGACTAAAACGTGGTATAAACTGATGCTTTCACTTTTAACAGCTACCTTTATTTACATATCCAAAATCAATGTTAGCTACACAGAGGCTAACTCTGTTTAATGTAATATTTGTGATTAAACACTGATGGCCTCTTATGGCATCTCCTAGGGGACCAGGTGTACTGAAACCAGACTGACGTGGATTTGTTTACCTGTTCATAGATCTCAATGGCTTTAGGGTACCGCTCCAGTTGAGCTGCATAGGTGGCAACTTTGAGCAGGCACTTGTTGGCTGAACTTTGACATCAGAGACAGAGCGAACAGGTTACAGACAGTTCTAGAGCATGACTTGGTTGCAAAAATTCCCCCCAAAAAAGATCATGTGATAATGAATAACAGGGTCGTATGTTGCCTGGAAGGTGGCATATCTCAATAATGGTACCGTAAATGTGAGACGGGGGCAAGGGTCTTTACTTTCAGCAAACATGCTTGCTATTCATTACATACTGATACTGTAATCAAAACCATTCATTTGAGAAGATCTAACTTTATAGGTAACCTATTTTCTACTGGTCTTTTCTGCATCATCATTTAGGATTGATAAGTCTTGAGCAATAGGAGCAAAAATAGCTTTAAAACTGCCATACCTTGTGGACTCCTCGCCTTTATAATAGTCTGCCGCCTGTTCATAGTGAGCTATTGCCTAAGGACAAGGTTATAAAGTACTTTGAATAAATCTTACTTTCTGATTCTGAATAAATATGGATTATAATAATCTATCAATGTGACAAAAGAAATCTGACCTTGTCGATGTCAACCAGTTCGGTCTCATAAATTTCAGCAATAGTGACGTGGTGTTTCGCCGCGATAGTAAATCGACCCTACAAGACAAACAACAAGAATCACGTTTACAATCTAGGCATGACTAAATGCATAGTTTAGATAAAATCACTGATACTGATGACAGGTGAACAACAGCTTCAGTTTCTTACATTTTTAGCTGAAAAACACAATTGCCCATTTTCCTCCACTAAAAGCCACCAAAAATTGGATTGATAAAACAATTTCAGCAAGCAAAATGTTTACATTTACAAAACAAAATAATAATAATAATAATCAGTTATTCAAGGTTTTACAAATATCATGAATTACCAATTTAAAAAGATCAGGTTTCAGTGTGTACACACACTAGGCAAAAGTTGCTCCTAATGCAGAAATTTTGGAGCAACTCATAAAAATAAGGGCGTGTCACACACACACGCGCTACATTCCCATGGCTAATTCTATTCAGTTTGCCTTAATCAATAAACTAATTAGTTATTATATTTTCCTAAAAGTCTTAAAATTAGGAGTGACATGTCCCTTATTCTAATTAATATTGCTCCTAAATTCTTGAGAGTTATACAGCCCCTGGTTAGTGCACTCTAAACCACATGTATTGTGTTACAGTGCCCCCTCTAGTGGTGTATCAAGTCTTTTTCAGTATGTTTTATGAAAAATTGCTTTGGATATGTCAAACAATTTCCAAAACAAGTTTTCACCGCAAAAAGAGAAACAGATGAAAAGTGTCAAAATGATTCTGTACAACAAAAGCAGCTCTACTTTTATTTGACTATATATTAGCATTCACAAGAAATCTTAAGACTAAAAGTTGCTCCTAATGCAGAAATTTTGGAGCAACTCATAAAAATAAGGGTGTGTCACACACACACACATGCGCTACATTCCCATGGCTAATTCTATTCAGTTTGCCGTAATCAATAAACTAATTAGTTATTATATTTTCCTAAAAGTCTTAAAATTAGGAGTGACATGTCCCTTATTCTAATTAATATTGCTCCTAAATTCTTAAGAGTTATACAGCCCCCTGGTTAGTGCACTCTAAACATGTATTGTGTTACAGTGCCCCCTCTAGTGGTGTATCAAGTCTTTTTCAGTATGTTTTATGAAAAATTGCTTTGGATATGTCAAACAATTTCCAAAACAAGTTTTCACCGCAAAAAGAGAAACAGATGAAAAGTGTCAAAATGATTCTGTACAACAAAAGCAGCTCTACTTTTATTTAAAACACAGTCCATCTACAGCCCTCGCAGATGAAAGAAAGACTCTTACCATGTCTGTATAGATCTCAATGGCCCTGTTCAAGCAGTTTATGGCCTCTGTGGAGAGAACGACAGACAGCTGACTGAACCTTAACCATTTTCAATGATTCAACAATGAATAATTTTTAACACAGAAGTAAAAAGATTTTTTATTTTTTTTTGTTGGTGCAAAAAAAAGCAGTGGGTATTTTTTTAGTATATGAACTACTGATACATTAAATGACATTTTAGTGGGTGTAAATCGTGGTAAAATGTATGCTAAAATAAAATAAACAGGTCAAATGTAAGGGGCAATAAAACTAAATTTAAAGCTGTATTGAACTATTATTGTTTTGATGCGCCAAAAACCTTGTTCATCTTTGACCTATACATAGAACATTTGTCATAAAAGACACATATTCAAGTTTTCCAAAACATCAAAATTGATTATGGTTTCCCAGCTATTACAGCTTTGGTGGTACTAAGTGTCTGAGCAGGTTAATGTGTTCATGTATGTCCAGTGATGTTGTAACTGGCTCAACTGGATGTCAGCTGACTCCTAGCAAAGCCCTACGTTTCACTTTCTCATCGCCTGACTATTTCATCATAAGTTTTATGGAAGCTTTACGCCAGATCACATGACTAGACCTCAACCGTAAAAATATAAAGATATAAGTATAGACTTATACAGACTTAATATGATGACAATATTTAGGTTTATTACAATTAGTCGTTGCTCTAACTACGTTACGAGCTTACATCTGGAAAACAAATAGAAATTAAACTTACAGACGTTTAATATTAAATGTGGTTTCACACTCCACATCCAAACAATCTCATTTGGCTGGAGAAATTGTTCTAGAAAATGTTTCCCCCACTCTGATAATCACTTATATGAAGTTCGTGTTTGACAGCTAACTGACTAGCATGCTAACTGTCTGTTTACCCCGGTTGGCCCGTCAGCGGTGTGTTAAAAGTTATCAAACATACCCAAACAGAGAGCCAAAGAACGACTGCGAGGACCTCACTTTCTTCTCGGCTTCAGCCATGAGAGCCATGGCCTCTTTTTCTTTCCCGGAGCTATCCATGAATATTGTTTACAGTTCCAACTTTAGCAGCAGACTCTGGAATCCAGCCACATCAACACATCTCTGCGGAAACTTCCAACATGTCCGTCTGCTGCCTCATTTCAAAATAAACGTTGAGTTGCGCTTGGCCAAAAATAAAAACATAAATAATAACAAGAAACAACAGTTACTTTAAAATAATATATATATATATATGTATGTATGTATAAAAACAGCCTATATACTTATATATATATTTTCTACTTTTTTATCTATTCATTTGACTTTTATCCAAAACAACTTGTTTATATATATATATATATATATATATAAACGTTTTTCCAATGAGTTTTGAGCACTGAAAGTTACAGTGGAGCCTGACATATAAAATAATAGTCAATAAAAATCCAAAATGAAACAGTTCAAAACTTCAGACAAAATATTTATTATTATTTTAAAGTTTGCATGTGTTTTATGATTTGCATTATATTTTATACATCAAGCGTTTGTGGCTAATATAGTATAATATAGTGAGAATATAGTTTCTTGATTTTGTTGCATGCATTTTTATTTATTTGGACAAAAGTTAAAGGGATAGTTCACCCCAAAATGAAAATGTGATGTTTATCTGCTTACCCCCAGGGCATCCAAGATGTAGGTGACTTTGTTTCTTCAGTTGAACACAAATTATGATTTTTAAGTCTGAGCCGTTGCAGTCTGTCAGTCTTATAATGCATGGCATTGGTAACAAAATCTATGAGAGTAAAAAAAACATGCACAGACAAATCCAAATTAAACCCTGCGGCTCGTGACGACACATTGATGTCCTAAGACACGAAACGATCGGCTTGTGCAAGAAACCAAACAGTATTTATATAATTTTTGTTACCTCTAATACACCACTATGTCCAACTGTCTTTGGGGGCGCGCACGGCATCCGGTGCGTGAGCTGTGTACGCGCTCTGGCATAGTTTGGATCAAGAATTTTGACCCATACAATGTATTGTTGGCTATTGCTACAAATGTACCTGTGCTACTTATGACTGGTTTTGTGGTCCAGGGTCACATAAATAAGTTAAAGAAACAATATGTAAGATGTTTTTATTAAAATATTCAAAAACCACTAGAACAGTGTTATATATTTTGCTGACTTGTGTACTAACATTATCCCAAATGTTTCAAAGAATGTTTAAATCCAGAGAAATAAACAATTTTAACTAGTGACATGGACGTGTCCGTAGTGTCATTGTGTCGCCTGCCAATGACGTCATAACCCCTCGATTTCCAGATATTTATGGAAACACCAAAGACGCTTTAATATGTTTTGCATTTTATTAGACAGGTGACGACCGCACAGAGTAGCATTATAACAGAACTTTCAAATGTATCTAGTATGATAAAACAGCGCTGCTTTACCCCACATGCGCACGACCGGAAGGAGCGGAAGAGGTCGACTGTGGCATAATAAAAGCTCCGCTGCTTTCGAGCCGTGTGTCGCGCTCGTTCAGCGGCTTCGTTTCACTTCGACGGCTTTCAGCCTCCCCCTGCTTCATTCTACTACGTTAATAAATCATTAGCTCATCCATGAACATGATTTCTGCCCGAGTTCCATCGAATAGCATCGGCTGTGGGGATGAAGATGACAACTCCCATGATTCCACACTCAGTCACGGCGTCATCAAACTACACCTTTGTCTATTTGTTTATTTTGAATCCGCGCCATCTAGCGGCAAAAATGACATATTGTGCCTTTAAAGGAGACATATTATGCCCCTTTTTACAATATGTAATATAAGTCTCTGGTGTCCCCAGAATGTGTCTGTGAAGTTTCAGCTCAAAATAC